ATAGTGTAATTAAATTTTGTATTGAATGATTGTCATAAACATTTATTTATTTATTTATTTTGTTGAATGATATATGATTAAGTCCTTTCATTTTCTTTGCCATTTGATTATAACTTATAGTGTAATTAAATTTTGTATTGAATGATTGTCATAAACATTTATTTTTTTTATTTTTTTTTTAAAATTAAAACCTTAAATATTTTTCCAAGAATAAGGAGAGAGTGAAACCTTACTTTTATATATATGATTTCTTAACATTCTCAATCTTAAATGATCATTTTATCGTTTATGTAGCTATGAGTTTTCATAACTAGAGAACGATCAATCTATCATTACTACTTATATACAATTGTATATCGTATATTGAATTAATGTACGTGTGAGTTTTCTTAAACGAGATTTTTTTTTTTTTTATAGAATTTCTTAAACGAGATATTGACTATGAACATTGTCATATTCTATCATATGTAATTATATTTATCATTAGAATCATTTTTCTAATATGACAACCAATTCATTGTTATTGTAATTGTAATTGTTGTATTACTATATATATATATAGCTATGGAATCAAATTGATGATATATAATATCTAAAAAGATTGTAATTGTATAGTTATTAAAGATTCAACAATATACAAATTGTAAGTGCTTAGCTATGGATATTATATATTTGCATTCATATCATTGATCAAATAAATGAATTTTCAACTTATACCGCAACCATAGTAGTCTTGGGTTTTGAGGCACGAGATCTCGTGATTATAGGAAAGCCAAAATTCTCTTAGTGGGAAGAAAATTAACATATTCAGAAAAAAGAGGTGACTAAAATCGGAATTTGGTTATGGCATGAACTTAATTTGCAGCTTTTTGTGCTTCTTTTGAGTGCATAACGTCAAGTTCACCCCATACTTTATTGCCCATAAACATAATAATTAATCTTCATATTCCTTCAACGTTTTTTTTTTTTAATATGTGGAAATAATGACAGTTTCATAATAATCGATGGCTCTCGGTCTCGTAATAACTAATTATTGTTTTTTTTAATATATACTACACCCATTCAGTAATCAACTCTACAACTTTGTATTCTTCTTTTGACATTCTGAAAGCCCATAACATTCATCATGGTCCCTTCTTTTTTTCTTCGACAATATATATATGTGGTCATGAACAAGAATTTACAAGTTCGTCGTTCCTAGCTTACCGTTACACAAGCTAAGATATCTTGTTATGACATGTTGTAAATTACTAAAAGACACAAAAAAAAACAAATAAAGCTTAATTAGAAAATGAACATAGCCAAAAAGTATATGGTGAACAAAACCCTAACGGAATAGATATTTAGAAAACAAACAAAAATAACCGAAAAAGGGCAAAGGTTTTATATAGGAAACAAGCGAATATTTATGACCGAAGGAGAAGTGACGAACTCGTATCATTAAACCGACGTTTCATAAGGTCATCATCTATAGAAAAATCAAATCCGCAAACTATTATTATTATTATTATTATTATAGTAAACAACGAAAAAGAAAAAAAAAAAAAAGGAGGAAGAAGATAGGAATTATTGGGTAAGTAAGCTTCTGATTAAAGCAGCTTGAGCAGTGTCTGTGTTTGCAAGCAACTCAGATAGCCTCTCACTTAGATCATCAACCTCTCTATGCAGATTCCTTATGTAGTTGCACGTATCTTGTAACACCCTCGCTGCTGATACCTGTTTATTTATATACTTCATATCATCAGTTTCATGCCATGTATATATTACATAAACATATGTCTAACCAGTTGATTTAGCTAGCGTACCTTGTCGGAACGACGACTGTCCCTGAGCTCAGGAAGAAGCTGCTGCAACTTGATAATGAGATCGTTGATTTGATCTTCGGAGATCCTTGAAGTTCCTGATGATTGCCTTGAACGTGATCTTCTTCCCGACATTTTCTTTTTGTGGCTATTATATTAGGGGAAGTAGTCAAAGTAATAGAAGAATGAAGCAAAAGACACTTTATCGAAGAAACAGGTTATGGAGTTTAGGTTCACACACAAGTTATGCCGGAAAAAGAAGTAGAGAGAGAGAAAGAGAAAGGTTGATAGCATGAAGGAAACAAGTGAAGTGACGGTTGTATTTATGTAGGCCTTTTAATTATTTGTTTATGAAGATTATAATAAAATTGATTTCTTGTTTTTAATTTGAGAGAAAAATATGTATGCGAATCTTATTTTTACAAATATTGAATTATATTCCCCCCCTCCTGACAACTTTTGTTATAATAGAACGATTTCAGAGAATCTCATATTTTAATTATAGATCTAGCTAGGTATAATATTATCGTTGAATCTAGCCAAATCTTGTTAGAAAAATTTACTCTATATCGTAACTTTTGTTGATATATATGTTTTAAGTTTTGAAGAAAACAAAGTTTTGAGTTTGACACTGGCCTTAACGTTCATGCTAAATATGTTAAAAAGCCTAATTAAAGGTATAAGTTAAAAATTCTTACTTCCAACAAATTCCACCACCAAAAAGATAGCTACTAAAATAAATCATACGTCATGTAACAGAACTAAACACTGTATTTGTTGAAAGGTTTTCAAGATGGTGGAGTGTTAGAAACTATGGTGAGTAATGTTAACAAAAAACCAAAATAAAAGAAGAAGAAGATATTTTAAAAACTGAATTTTTGTGCGTTTATCAAGGAAGAAAGTATTATACTTTATAACTAAAATAAGGCTATCCATTCCTCGAAACACAACTTCTATTAATATACAAATTTCACACTTTCGATGTTTGGGATTTCGCTCTACCACGTCCACACATGTACCTTTATTAGTTTTATATATAACTTATCAATTTATATGGCTTTGCTAAAAAAAATTTGGGGACAAACTATGGCCTTTGCTATTTAGTAGAACGCCATTTTTTTTATAAAGATAGTTCAAAGAATTATTTCTTGAAAGAGATGTACCTTGTTCACCAACAATTTGAAATTTAATTGACAACAAAAATTGAAGCATTATTGTTTTTTTTCCCCCCTATTCCATCTGCTCTGATATAAGAGTATTGTGTCGATAATTTTTACACAATTTTTTTTAAAGAAAATCAGTTTAACCCTAACAAAAACATTCTAACTCTTAACTTATTTAATTTGTTCTAAATATGAGCGCCAAAAATTAGTCTACGGAAAATATAATAAACTTTATTATAAGTCAGAAATATTATCGGCATATCTAATCACTTGTTTTAAAAATTCTTTCAGCCAAAAAGAAAAAAAAAAGCGAGTAGAAGAAGCTGATCAACACATACAAAAATAAGGATCATCAATAATTCAATACATTACGACGTTTAAAAATATCTACACACAGAATTATTACGAAATGCGATAATTGTTCATAGCTATTATACGTATCACAAAATGATGATGTCTACGTAGACAAAAGTGAGTGTGTGTATATATGAGGAAAGTGCCAAAGTAAAGAGCGATTTGACTGGTCAAGGGATCACACACATAAACACACACACACACACACACACACATGTTCTTCGATCAACAACACACACGTGGCCTTTCGGGAGGCGCGTAACCCTTGCACCGACCGACGTTGAACACTTCATCAGCTCTCTTTGTTTATTCAGTTTATGCACTAATCTGCTGCACCACAAAAACACGTATCCACTCCCGTATTTAGAAACTCATTGCCCTATTTAAAGACGAAATGTTATATACTACTATTTAACCAACTAATTTCTTGAAATAAATATATTATCATCGCGTTAAACAGACAAGAAAATACAAATTATTATGATGGAACAAGAATACAAAGATTTAAAAACTAGTATTGAACAACGTAACTCTTCACTAAAAAAAAACATTTAACCACTATGCTAAAATAATTTTAACAAAATTCTACATATAATATAGTAACTTCAGGAAGATGTATTGGTATCAACTTGCAAGTATCAATACACAGAATTACTTAGCTTTTTAAATGGTATGATAATTAGCAGTTCCAAAGTTTCAAACACATCTACCTGCATTTTTTTATTCGTTGTTTTTCATTTTGTTAACTTTATATTATGGTAGAACAAAAATTTTGCAGGGAAAAAAAGTCGTCAACTTTGTAAATTATACTCGTTGTTTATGATGAATTCTGAGATCCTTTCAAGTTTCGAGCCTGAAAAATACGAATTTCTTGTATAGTAAACTACAATTTTTCTGGTTAAAATAAGCCAAGAAAATAAGGAAATATGTTTCGTAAAGGTAAAAGTAGAAAACGACAAAGAAAAATATAAGCTCGAAGAGTGAGCTGTGGAGGACGAAACACAAAATCTCAGATTTTGATACATTGGAGAAATAGATGGCGAATGCAAGATATACTTTTGATTCATTAGATGCAAATTCCTTGTATGTTTGAAAGAAGCGACCCTTTTCAGTAAAAAAAAAAAAAACTAAAGAAGAACTTAATTAATGTACTGCATATGCATGCTGCTTGTAGTACAAACTACAAAACTCAATTCCATTGGAAACGGTAAAGATACTGGCGGTAATTTACCAAACGTTTTTTTGGTAGTCTAGCTAGTGGTCTATTGGTATGCAAGATCGTCCACACAAATTTATGCATGAATGGTTATGGTCTTCTCTCCACGTTTTCGTTTTCTACATCGCTAGAGAGCCAATTAAGATCAAGCATAGTTTTGTATTTGATCATAAATATATATCACGCAGAGTTTTGAAACGTTTTCCAAAGATAAGTTAAATTATTCACGGGAATTAAGAAAGATAATAAAAAAATATTTATATTTAAAGACCTTCTCGATAATTCTATATCAAATCATCCAACAAATATGATATATCTCGTGGATAGGATTGAACATGATAAGAGAAATAAGAATATATATAGAGATAAAAAGTTTGAATAGGAGACTTGGATTTATACTATCGGGTGAACTTAAAAAATTAAAATAGATATACACACAAGAGGTCAACCAAAGCAATCAATCGCAACTTTTCTTCGCTATATAAAAACAAGATTTAGAAGTGAATTACATAATTATATAAGATCTAATTGAAGGGTTTATTTATAAATTATAGAAAATAAGATTTGCCTTGAGCTTTTTAATATCTTACAAGAATAAACAAAGAGCTCAGATGTGTTAAATTGTGGTCAGCGTGTCTCTCGCGTCACATGATCGCTAATCAATCGACAGCGAAGATTAAGCTTTGTTTCACGAGCATTCTATTCTTATTGCAATTCTTTCTTTCTTTTTCTTTTTTCTTTTGTATTTGTAAGAAACTTCAAAATCCTTTTGGTTTATTCGTTTTGCTGCTTGTTTCGGTTTTGTCTAGTTCTCCTCTGTTTTTAGTAAGTTTTGTTCCACTATACATAAACTTGAATAAATAATCATTGCAATAAACCATGAATTTTATGAATCGGTAAAAGAGGCATACTTTAAACGTATTTTCTTATTTACTCACAAACATTCAAAAATAACACATTTTAAAAAGGTGATTAGCGCTTCCATTCGACAATTTTAATTTTACTAAAGATTTCGCTTTATGAACCATTCTGAGTACGTAAATATGGTGAAAATAATTACATATATCATACTGACATACAGTATACATATGGTTCACTCTAGAGTGATTTAATGGCAATATGAGTATATGACCTCGGTTATGAAAAAACACCATTTATCTTAACTTATAAATTTGCAATTTTATTAGTGAGTAGATTTGTAGTCGGGAAGTTATGTTATTCTCTTTATATCAACACAGAAAAAGTATTGTCTACTCATTTCCAGCAATATGCTTGTTTTTTTTTTCCTTTTATTGATGATTTATTATATGCTTGTTGCAAATGTTTATGTATAATATGTAATGTATTATGTATATACATTATATATACACCATAATTACTTAATTTTAGTTTGATTAATGTTTTTTTTCTTTTTGTACAAAATTGATCTTATACATATATATATATATATATATATATACACCTCTATATAAATAGATTAGATTAGAAATCTAAAATCATATATATGTAAAACAGAGATGCTTAAATAAACTATACGATCTACAATTTAGTCCTTAATTTAGGTCAGGTGTTCTCTCTCTCTCTCCACTATGACACCGACCAAACAAGCCTAATCGTATAGTATTGCTAAAAAAACGTGATCCAGCTCTATATATATCATATTATGTATATATACGTTTGCTTGTACTTATACATATTATAAAATCAATTTATTTTAAAACATAACAATAATCACCTATACCAGCATAATTTTTGAGACGCATATGTACTAATTTCTATAGCTTTATACTATTTGACAAAATAATATGTGTCTATCAATAATTCTTTTAACTTTTTTTTTTGCTAAGAATGTAAATATTTCATTAAAATGAAAATAATTTAGGTTTACAATCAAACTAGAGGATTACAATCAAATTACATATAATGGGTATGTAAATATTTCATTAAAATGAAAATAATTTAGGTTTACAATCAAATATTTTAAACTTATACAAATAGTCCCATGGCAAAAAAAAAGTAAAAATATGAAGATAATTTTCGGTCCATCGACTTGACGAAGCGACCAAATAATTCTTTCAACTGTAATGTGGCGACTAGTTTGAGCTTTGAAGGTTGAAAGGGCACACTCCGGTCCATATATAGAACGCGATCATGAGTTTTATGACTTAGGATGAGTCCCAAAAGCCTATAACAATTTTGGTTTTGCACGTGAAACTAATCAAACCCACAAACAAAAGCATCTTCTCTTCTTCCAATGCGTTGACGACGAAGAAGACAAAAGAAAACATAAGGTAATTCACCGTTAATATCCTTCATATAGAGAAGTATAGTGGAACAACTTGTGTTATTGTATTATCATATAGATAAGTATACGCATAACTTGCGTTATATATGTACAATCCTGAATATCTTGAGATCTTAAGCAAAAAGTGACATGCAGTCCAATATATTATATATAGTCCAATGGTATTCGACTTGATGTGATGTGATATGTTGTTGTGACTTGTGACTATCGTCATTCTAAGTTTGAGATGTTGGTAAGATGTATTGTAGTTCAGCTGAAAGTTGATCTCATTTGGCTAATGCAGCGTAAAACCAACGTGCAAGTTTTATATAGTTTTAGGTTTTTCTTTGCATACACGATATTCAAAATCTTCGCTTTGTATAGACCCATAAAAAAAAAAGCCTAAAACCACTTTTATTTGTAAAATAGTTTTAGGTTCTTGATGCATTTATCGAATAAAAATAGTGTTTTTGGTTGCATACAAAGAAAAATACCATTTAAGCCATTTTTAATTTTTATAGTATACACGCAGACGCAAATGTTACACAAACATAGTGTTGTTTTTATTGCTTTTGCATGAAGTTTACGTTTAGAACGAATAAATTAATATACACAAAATAAACAATCGAAGTCTACAAAGGAAAGATCGGTGAAATGCTACATAACTTACGACGGTGAGTTTATACTGTACAAAAATATAAATAGAGATAACGCAATATGTATATAGGCCATGGAATGAGATTTTAAATTGGATTTTAGCTTTTAGTTTTTAGTTTCTAAATAATTGGTTTTGGTTTTTGCTAAAAAAAAGGTAAAAAAAAAGAATTAAAAAAAAAATTGAAAAGAGGTTTTTGGTTTTTCTTTGAAAATAAGTAAAATCTCATAAAAAGTAGATTTCCTATTTTTTAGAAAAACCGAATTTATAAAATCTTGAATGACAACAAATTAGATTTTTATAAAAACTAAAACTAAAATCTATCTAAAAATTAGTAACCATTCGATACTGTATACTGAAGATTTAACTTGATGGTATCATGGGTTGTACTTGTTGTGATTCAAGAATCAAGATATATAAAACTTTCCTTAAAAGGATATACCTCTTGCACATTCCAACAGGTCACCATTTGATTTATATTCATAATAAAGAACCCAAAACCAAGGACAGTAGGTTGCTGGTTTCAACGTGTCTGATCTAAACAACACAAATCAAAACTTGGTCGCTCTACGTCATGCAGATTCGTTTCTATGTATACAACTTGGTACTTAAAACCTAAGTTTGTCAGCAGTTTAATTAATAAAGATGAAGACAACAACGTACGTCCACCATCGTCTAATTAAGGTTCTTTTTCATTTCACACAATTTGCAATATATTTAAAGAGTACCTTAATCCAATAATTAATCTCCACGATTTATGTTTAATGATTGTAATTAGCGTCAGAAAACTTTTATTTATGTGGTCCCGTTGCATGTTGAGAGGTAAGAAAAGTAGTTGCCAAGAGGTTCCATGAACACTCACTAATTCTCGTGGGTGGGGGTAAATGTATATTTGTCGATTATCCATTGTATAGTCCTAGCTAGACTTCTTCTAGTAAGAAAAAAAAAGAAAAAAGAATTGTCGTGTGGTCCTCCTATATCGTAGCTGAAAGTCATATAAATTAAAATTTAGTGGGTGGGACGAATGATATTAACATAATAATCCTTTTTGATAAGGTTAATATAAAAGATGCTATACGTTACAGAATATTCTCAGTTAACCACATACGTAGTACTGTAGATTGGTCGCTGCTGCTACCTACATAAGTATCTTCTTCTATAGTCCTATACTATAGAGTTAAACTGTTAAACACTAAAGTCATATCAATAATAATAACTCGATAGGTTTTATTTCATTTATTACAATAACCACAAAATTACACAGCAATTCTGGCCCATTACTAAAAGTTAGCAGGTTAGGATTTACAAATGGGCCTAAAGACTTTCGTTGCTTTATATTTTGATCGAATGGTTACGGCCAAGCCCAAATAGACCGAAGTTCCTTCCGTAGTTTCTTCATTAAGACAAAACCGAATTCAACTTCGTCTTCTCAACTACTTCCACTCGGAAGTCTCTCGCTGGTATCTAATGATTCTTTTAACAGCAGTATCAAGGCGTATAACCCATCCACTTCATAAGTCTGATCATCTCTATCCACAAACAAAGCATCATCAAACTACAGTATTCTCATGAGAGAGGTTCATTTCTTTCTCTTTTTGTTATATATATATTTTGTAAGGTTCTTCTTTTAAAAAAAAATTGTAGTATAAAAAAAAACAAAAAGAAGAGAATTGACAAAGCTGAGCAATCATCAATTGTATTTTATCAAAGCTGGATTAGATAAAAATCCAAAAAAAAACAAAGACATTAACGTGTGAAGAAGAAAGAGAAAAGAAAAAGAGTTGCTTTCTTTAGTTGTCCGAAGCAGAAACACGTGCAAGGGGGAGAGCTAAGAAACAGCCGTTAACTTTCTTTTGCCATAATGGGCCAAAACGGCATCGTGTTCGTGGGGGACTCCTCAACAAAAAAAAATAAGAAACCGAAACTACCCTTCACGTCTCTCCTCGTCATCCGGGTATATATTATAATATTTTCTACATAAAAAAAAAGTAACTAGTAAAGAAGAAGAATTATATATAAAATAAAAATGTTATTGATCAGCTTTATTCTTGAATTTTATATGTATATAAATCCACCACTGGTTCATTCGTGCATCTTTTCTTCTTTCTTTTTTTTTTTAACACAAAAAAACTTGTAAATTAAATTAAAATAATAATAAAAATGCAAATCGCAGCTCCAAATATGCTCTACCAATTCAGCTAAAAATGTGAGCCGGGATGCGAAGAGGATTGCAATAGCATCATCATCATCCATAGCCCCCCCACAGCCACAGGTTTAGCTTGTATTATATAATCTCTGTTGAGTTTTTTTGATTCTTTCTAATTATTTCTCTTTTGATCCTGCCTGAAACAAAACCCCAGTTGTGTTTTGTGTCTGATTTGTTTTGTTGAAATCTAAAACTGGGTTTCTGTCTGGATTTCTTTAAACTTTTTCAGATCTTTAATCGGCTCTGCTTGACTAATTTATTGAGGAAAAATCTGGGGGATTATTACTTCGATAATAACTGGTTAGTCGTGAGATTGATTTAGTGAATTTACTACTCTTGTTTCACTTTTGCGTTTTTTCTCTTTTTCTTTAATCGAATTTGAGATCCGATGATGTGATTTTCATTGCATGTTTTCCTGATTGTGAAATTTGTATTTTTTGATCTGATCGTATTGCGGTTTCGACCAACCAATATCTGTTTCTGTGAAAGTCTAATGATTTGCTTTTGCTTATAATTAAGAAAAAATAGTCAAGAATTTGTACTTTACCTTATTGATGATTTGATTGATGGATCGTTGAACAAATTCTCATTGAATCTGAATGAAGAAGAAGATCACGTGGAATTTGCGTGTGATTTTTTGGTATCATATTTGTTTCTGAGATGATTTGATTGTTTCTTTCTTTCTCTTCTTAGCATCCATCCATCATGTTGGAGGCTCCGAGTTATCTGGTGTCAAGAGATTTACCATCTTCATGTGAAGAAGAGAGCAAGTGGATCTATAACGTACACTGCGTGCTTCAACTCTCCCTGAGAAAGCGGTTGTTGGATGATGAAGATGGAGCTTCTGCTAAGAAAATGTTACGCCTTGATCATCGAAGCAGAGATGATTCTGACAAGATTACAGATACTCTTCTTCAGCTTTCTCAAACCTATCAGAGTTCTAACCAGAGCCACCAAGGCACTCAACAGAGTCCACCAATAACTCGGCTTGACCAAAACGCACTTCTCAACTGCTTGGCTCACTGCTCCTTGTCTGATTTCGGGTCCATTGCCTCGACCAATAAAACATTCCGCTCGCTTATTAAGGATAGCGAGCTGTATAGGCTGAGACGGTCAAAGGGTATTGTGGAGCATTGGATTTACTTTTCTTGTAGGCTTTTGGAATGGGAAGCTTATGATCCAAATGGAGACCGCTGGTTACGCGTACCCAAAATGACGTTCAACGAATGTTTCATGTGTTCGGATAAAGAGTCTCTGGCGGTTGGCACCGAGCTTCTTGTTTTCGGTAAAGAAATCATGTCCCATGTGATTTACCGATATAGTATCTTGACCAATACATGGACATCGGGTATGCAAATGAATGTTCCGAGGTGCTTGTTTGGATCAGCGAGTTTAGGCGAGATTGCGGTTATAGCTGGAGGATGTGATCCTCGTGGCCAGATATTGAGCTCAGCTGAGCTTTATAACTCGGAAACCGGGGAATGGACGGCAATTCCAAGCATGAATAAGGCGAGGAAAATGTGCTCGAGCGTGTTCATGGACGGGAATTTCTATTGCATCGGAGGTATCGGAGAGGGAAACTCGAAGATGCTGATGTGCGCTGAAGTCTATGATCTGAAGAAGAAGACGTGGACATTGATACCTGACATGTTACCAGAGAGAAACAACGAAGGTGGAGGAGATAATGCAAAAGAGACTGCCGCAGCTTCAGAGGCGCCACCTCTTCTAGCAGTTGTAAAAGACCAGCTCTATGCTGCGAATTACGCGCAGCAAGAGGTGAGGAAATACGATAAAACGCTTAATGTATGGAATAAAGTGGGGAGTTTGCCGGAGAGGGCTTCTTCGATGAACGGTTGGGGAATGGCGTTTAGGGCATGTGGGGATCAGTTAGTGGTGGTTGGAGGGCCTAGGGCAATAGGAGGAGGGTTCATAGAGATCAATGCTTGTGTCCCAAACGAAGGAACCGAACTGCATTGGAGAGTTCTTGCTTCAAAGCCATCGGGAAACTTTGTGTATAATTGTGCGGTGATGGGATGTTGATGAAGAAAAAGACTTGAGAGAGGCACTTTCAAAGTGATTGACTTCTTTACTAGAGGTTTTTCTTTCTCTTCTTGTTTTTTTTTTTTTTAAACAGTTTCGGTTTTTCTTCTTCTTCTTTTCATGATTGGGGTCAAAAGAGAGTCTCTCTGTTTCCTTCTTTGTCGTTGTGGGATTATTGTTGTTGTTCAGGCATAAACTGGAACTGAAAAGTTCCAATAAATTTGAAGAAGATTAAGAACAAGCATCATGTTGTCTTGTCTCTCAACATCTTATATTGTAATTTGGTTCCATTGTAAGAACTCCTTTTTTTAATAAATTTTGAAAGATACTTCTTTATTCTCCTAAACTTCTCATTCTATTTTTTTTTTTTCCTTGAAGAAATAGATTGCAAGTGTTAACAATTTACTGAGTTTGGCAAAGCAATCTTGACTCTTAAAATTGCTAATATCTTCATCCTTCATTATAGCAAAATTTTATTTGAAAGCTTGAAATATGCCGCATAGGAATATGAAGAAATTTCGATTCTAAGCCTCAAATTAGAGAATAAAGTAGTTCACTTAATTATCAACTTTTTTACATGACAGAGATCCACAAAACTAAAGCAAAACAAACAACATCAAAGACATGAAAGTTGCTTCACACATTCTAAATTTAAAAACTTTTTCAAGCTCCCTTAGTACTGATACTGATAACCCTCACCATACATGGTTTCATAACTTTCATGTTCATGTTTATATTTTTTTGATTTATCGGCCTGCGCGATACAAGAAAAGAGAAATATAAGTAAAAAAGAATCGCATTTTATAAATGAGAAGAAGAGATCTGGTAGAACAAAATGACATACCCGGCTTAAGATCTTCTCGAAAGCATCAGGTCCGTTCTCTGCAATGTACTTCTCAGCAGCTGTTAACACGTCGTCTGGTTTCCTGAAGATATCCATTTTCTTTGGCACATACCAAATATTAATGCTCCGTGGGTTAACAAAGACAGGTCTCACAAAATGTTCATAGACATAGGCAGCGCCGCTGAAGTAGGGAATGACAAGCCAACAAGTCAAGATCAGCTTCATGTATGACCATATGGGTAACCTGATCACACAACAACAACATTGTCAGATAAAGGAACTAGGATTCACTTGTTCCTGGTAATGGGTAATGGGTCTGAATCATCATCTTATTCCTACCACTCGATGAGTTTGGCAAATGTGAGCTCGATGAGTGTAAGTAGAGAATAAAGAACCCAATATGTTAGCCATTGTTTGTCATCAGCGTGAGATTGAGTTTCAATCGCTTGGACTGAGGCATATCTAGTCATTGAAACATTCAAAGAACAAGAATACTATTAGATCAAAGCTTCTACAGAACATTTTAAAACCATGTAAGTTACAGATGAATTCAGCTTCTACATGATGTAACAAAAAAATGAGGAATTGTGAATTCAGCTTACAGAGGATAAACGAGACTAACCACAGGCCTGCAAAAAATTCAAAACCAGAGACTGTGATTAGTTCCACTCCTAACATTCCAAAAGATGAACAATTTATAAGGAACCAATCAATCAACTTCCAGAGAATTCGTAACTTGAACTAGGGCTATGTCCAAAAAACTAGAAATTAGACCATAGGCTGTGATGAACTGAGTATAATATATCAGAAGTTATTCGGCAAAAGGAGGGAACTTTAAAGAGATTTAGGTGTCTCTGTGAAAGCAGAAGAAATTTTAGTATTACCCAGCAAGAACATCGAAGTTCCTGAGAAGAACCTTGAGGAAATTTCCAGCTCCAGATCCCATCACCAACCAAGCTTTGATTTTTGGCTATGAATCTGATTCTCCACTAAAAAACACTAGATTTTTGATTGAGAGAGAGAGAGAGAGAGAGAGAGAGAGAGAGAGAGAGAGAGAGAGAAAAAAAATACAATTTATGTGGTAGACCTGTTGAAAGTTTTTAACTTTTTAATGGTATCAAAAAGCGTGAAAACGATATGAATTGGAAAAAAAAGCTAGCCATTAATTTCCTTTTGGAATAATCAAAAGCTTTTTAGGAAATTGTTACCACAAAGAAGAATAAGAAAAAATGGAAACTAGCTTAAACTAAAGTTACTAAACGTTGTTAACACAAGAAAGTAAAAAATAGCAATCTTTTTGCTTTGGGTAATAAGGAAATTAGCCATCTTAAATTCTGTATTTGGAAATTTGGCGAAAAAGGCCTAAATATTTTGCCACATAAAAATACAAGGTATCATCTCCAATCAATCAAGTAAGCTTTTCGACAGCCGACATAAGAAAATAGCGTTTTGATATACGTAAGAAGTTAAATACAACCTTTTTTTTTTTTTTTTTCTTGTCTTTGACTTGAATAAGATATTTTTCTTCACTACAATAAGTTGAAGAAAATTTACATATGAACATGACAAAATGGTTTTGAACTTCATGATGGTTTTGAACTTCATGATGGTTTTGAACTTCATGGTGAACTAATAATCCCTCTTGATTACAATCAGGTAAACTTTTAGCTCTTTGCACAGCCGAGTGGGAATGATCGAACCTTCATTCTTCCTCCCAGTGCGAGCGCCAGCAGATCAAACTCTTCTACATACCACAGCTCTGTTACTATTGCCTGTGTCAACAAATAGATTTCTCAGTTCTTGGTCAGAGGATATTTTTGCTTTCGTTGTAAGTTTACCTTGAATCCTCGGATTTTGTTGTTTAGTCTTGTGACCAACTCATGAAGAAGCTGGAGATGGTCTTCAGTACCAGCCTGCTATACAAAGAAACAACCACTAAGTCTTGGAGATTCTCTGCAACACTGGTTTATTTAGTTTGTCGACCATAAGTGTAAACTTGCCTCAGTTGGAGATATTGGAGGACCAAGCAGCCTTGCCAATGATGTATGAAGAATTGCAGTATCATACTGAAACAAAAATCATCAGACAAGTGGTTTGTGTTCATTGAGAGCTATATATAGTTTATGAAATAGATATTACAAGTTGCTTTTTCGGTGCATGTGGAAGAACAGATCTCAGTTTCGAGCGGATTGTTATGGGATCATCTCCAGAATTAACCTGGTGAAACATGAAACAGGGTATAAGTCCCATATATCTGATTTAGCCATTTCTAAAGGACTTGTTAGCATAGTTTTTGGCAAGGAGGATGGAATTCCTAAAGTGGTATAATCAAAACAAAATGGAGATCTGACTCACATTTGTTGAGGAAAAGTGAAAGCAACACAATTACCTTCCAGCATCCAAGAAGAACACCAGTCGAGGTTAATAGAACTCTATCCAATATAATCTCCAAAGGACAAAGCTTATTAGCAACTGCTTTAACAGCAGCTGCTTCCCCATCAACCTGATAATAAAGAAAAGATTCAGAGACTAGAATCTTCACAGATAAAAATTCTAGTAGAGTGGTGATAAGATAAATGATAAAGTAAAAACAACAAACCTCATCTTCAGTAGCTGGAACGGAGAAAATGTGATTTGATGCATGAAACATGCTAAAGTGGTACATCTCAGAGTCCTGAAACCAGATTGCTAAAAAACAACCCAAAGTAAGAAAGACGAAAATTACCAGCATTCTATATAATTCATATATATGGTACTTGCGGCAGGCTTACTATTTTCAAAGTAAGGACTGAACACATCTTCTACGGCTTTGCTGCAATAGAACATATTATGACACTTTTTTAGTTGTAGAACATTTTGAAAACATGATATTTTTGCATTGAGATTGGGAATGGGGCAAGTTACACACTCACGAGACTAGGACAGAGTATTCTGTGCTGAGATGTAATACATTAGCTCGCACAGGGGGATTCGCAACCTATAAATGAGGAAACTGGATATTTTATACAATCATACATGATATTTAGCTATCGCAAAAACCAATTATTCACTTCACTATACAAAGCCACTAATCCATTCTAACAATAGTAAAAGTAAAGATGTATCATTCTACCTTCAGGACAGGTGATATTTTCCCATCTTTCAGTGTGAAGAGATCTGAGAGTGACAATGACTGAGACGTTTCACCTTGCTTAAGGAAGACCGGTCCATTTTCTTGTAAATCCCGTTCCATCTTATCATACAACCTTGTGCTTTGCTCGGCATAGGTGACAAAGGAATCTGAAACATATGAGACTTATTATTGCTATGAATGGTAACCATTTACTTCAAATACAATCTTGATACAGATAAGAAAACATTTAAAACAGAGGCACTGGATCCAAAATCAACCATTGCCCTTTGCATCAGATATTCACTCTACCATGTATGTTCTACATTAGAACCACTAAAAACATGCTGGCTAAGAAGCATACCATCAATAAGAAACATGTTGAGTGTTTCTTTTAAGCTCAGGACAACCAATTCAAGAATGGTGATTTAAGTACCCGTTTGATCCCTAAACAAACACTAGATTCAGCTTAAGATCCCAATGCAGACTTAAAATTGAGTACCAAAACAGAGACATTTCTTCAGAAATACATAAAAACTAGTTCTTTACGCAAACACTAACTACACTGAATGCTGATGAATCCTTCGGTTAGCAAGTCAACATCGATCTTCCATTTACGAAACCCATATTCAGTATACAGAAAAACACAATTCAGTTAGTTTAATCAGATCGGTTATTGTAAAATTAACACATCAACGAAATCTCAGAATATGGAAAGGTACTTAATTTCGAGACAAGGAACGACCTTTAAGAAAAAAAAATTAAAAGGATTTTTAGACCTGATGAAGATGAAGAAGATGGCGAATTACGAAGACCCATTTGGAAAAGAGAGTAGAAAATAGTGAGTGAGATGCTCCAAAATAACACAGTGATTCTCCAATTCGGTGCTCTAATCGCAGACGTCGTCGCTGTCGCCATTTCTCCTTTTGTTTCGTTTCTTTGGAAAACTCCATTACTCTTTCTCCGTCAGACTCTCACCATTTACGTCAATAAGCTCTCTTCGCCGTGATAATTTTTTTGGGGTTATTTTCCATTTAATTTTTGTCACTCAATTTCAGTTTTTCCCTTATTATTTATTTATTTATGTGTTTAAGTCCATAATTATTTGTTATAGAATAATTCTCCAATTTTCTACATAACATTTCCCCTAAACCTTTTTTATTTATTTTTTACATCAATTGGTATCCAAATAGTCTCAATAGATATTTTTTTATTGGTGAAATATTCTCAATAGATATAAAGAAAGTGTTTTTTTTTTCTGTTTTTTTTGAGTAAACAGAAAATACAAAAAGTGTGAAGGGACCAATTTACGGCATTTTTATGCGGATGCCAAAGTTGTGTGTTTCTCTAAAGTTTGCGTTAAGTAAATATCAAAAGCTTTCTTCTATGTTTTACAGTTTGTATATAAAACTTCAGGGTAAGGTTTAGAATGTTAGAATGTACATCAAACTTATATCATTACACTGTTTCACATTGTCCAAACAACCATGGTTCTATATCTGATTTCGTTACTTCCTATCATCGTCGCCACCATTATGCTTTATCAAAGATGGTGGAGATCCAACATACCGCCGGGACCAAAACCAAAGTTTCTTATCGGAAACCTCCACCAAATGAAACCACTTTGGACGCATTCTTTCTCGGAGTGGTCAGAGGCTTATGGTCCCATCATATCAGTGTGGATAGGCTCGCAGCTCACGGTCGTGGTCTCGAGTGCTGATTTAGCCAGACAAGTGCTGAGAGACAAAGACCATCAATTGTCTAACCGACACAGGACCGCTAGCATGACTCAGACCGGTACTGATCTTGTTTGGTCCGATTACAGTCCACATTATGTAAAATTGAGGAAACTCTGTACCCTCGAGCTCTTCTCTCTGAAAAGCATTGAGAATTTCAGGTCGTTGAGAGAGATGGAAGCAAGATCGATGGTTGTGTCGGTTCTAAGGGACTTAATGAGCAATGCAAACGATGGCCAGGCAAGAAAACCGGTGATCGTGAGGAAGTACCTAGCTGCAGTTGTTTTGAACACTATCTCAAGACTAATGATCGGGAAAGAGTTCGGGACAGAGGAAGGACAAGAGTTTAAATCGATCGTTGAGAAAGAACATCTTCTCAGTGGCTCAGGGACGCTTTTTGATCATGTCTGGTGGCTCAAATGGGTTTCGTCTTGGTTCATTAGCGATAAGGAATTCTTAGGTCACAAGGATCGGAGAACAAAATGGTTTAGAGGAGCTATAATGGTGGAAGAAGATGTACCAATAGAGGACCACAAGGGTTTTGTTAGGAAATTGCTGGTTTTGAAAGAGCAGAAAGAGCTCAGCGAAGAGACCGTTGGGGGACTAGTATGGAACATGTTAACTGCGGGTGCTGATACAACTGCGGTTGTTATCGAATGGGCTATGGCAGAGATGATCAAATGCCCTACCGTGCAACAAAAGGCACAACAGGAGCTTGATTCCGTGGTCGGAAAGCAACGGTTAATGTCTGAATCAGATATTCCAAAACTACCATATCTGCAATGCGTGGTTAAAGAAGCTCTCCGGCTTCACCCATCAACACCGTTAATGCTTCCGCACAAAGCAAGCGAAACTGTTTGGGTAGGTGGCTATAAGGTCCCTAAGGGAGCCACGGTTTATGTCAATGTGCAGGCGATTGGGCGTGACCCCGCAAACTGGAGAAACCCGTATGAATTTAGACCAGAGCGGTTTCTTCAGGAGGAAACCGATGTTAAAGGTCGAGACTTTAGAGTTCTTCCATTCGGATCGGGGAGACGGATGTGTCCAGCGGCACAGCTCAGCATGAACTTGATGACATTGGTGATGGGGAATTTGTTGCAATGCTTCTCATGGAGTTCTCCTATTCCTGGAGAGAAGATTGACATGAGCGAGAATCCTGGATTGCTTTGTAACATGAGGACACCATTGCAGGCTATAGCTTTGCCTAGAGCTGCCTCAAGAGTTATACCTTTACCTTTAGATTTAAATAGAAATGTAATCACATGAGAAAATATAATGAAACTCCATATATAGATCATGATGACTCTAGTTATGGAAACGAAGATGTAGCTATGTCAAACCGAAGAGGCATATGTAGTGTAGCTATTATATATGGAAATAAAAGAGTAAATATATTCACATGGAGAAAGCTCAGTGTCATGGTGGCCAAAAACTAAGTAATGCTTTATGCTCATAACACAAATTTCACACATCTTTTATAAAAGCGTCATACAATCATTGCAATGTGGTTATCTTGAGCTCCCATAATGTGATAGCCTGTAGTTTCTTCTGAAACTGTTCATCAGTAGAGAGAGAGACTGTTTCTTCCAGGAACTCACCTTGTCATAAAGATCCGGAAGCTAGTAGAGTGACGGGAAAACGAGTTTAAGATTGTTGTGTATAGCTGCGTGTCGTATATATCCGTGAATTGGTGACAAGTCTTCTGAATCGCAGTTTCCTTTAACTTCTTTTTTCCCACGATAAAACTAATTAGCCTTTCAAAACAGAGATGCACATGTTAGTACTACTTTAATCATACAAATAGCCTAACTTGTATTATTACTTCTTAACCGAGCTTGTTTCATTAATCAATAACGGATCAAGTTTAATCAGATACACCATTAACTATTATGTGCACTTGTAGACCGGGATAAACCAAACTTGGGCATTTTAACTAATACCCGATCAATTTCAAAACAGAGATCCACGTGTTAGTACTACTACTAACGTAGTTTTGAATTCATTAAAATTAATGTTTTTAACTCAAAAGCCAATTAGCATACTTCTTAACAAATGTCAAATTTTGAACTTTGGATACATGCCTGCAGGCTACAACAAGACATACATATTGTTTACTCCAAAAAAAATAAGTAAAGAGGCATGAAAATGTCTATCTTACAACAAAGAAAGTTCTACTAAAATTTTCAACCGAATAGAAAATGCAAATAGTGTGGGAAAGCAAAAGGGAACCAATTCATGACAATTTCATGCAAACGTGCGTGTTAACTAAATAGTCTATTCAATAACCATGACTCTAAATAACAATAATTCATAGATAATTTAATATGAAGACCAAACAAAAAAATAAAAATAAAAAATGATTTAATATTTCGTGTATAAAACAAAAACACTTCAGTGTAAGGGAGCTACAGACATATGTATTACACTTTGTCGAAGCAAAATGGATTTATTACTGATTACACTAATCACTATCATAATTGCGGCCGTCATACAAAATCTAGGACGTCGGAGATCCAACATACCGCCTGGACCACCACCGCGGTTTCTAATCGGAAACCTTCATCAACTGAAACCACTATGGACACAATCTTTCTCCGAGTGGTCGCAGACTTATGGCCCCATCATATCGGTGTGGTTAGGGTCACAGCTAGCTGTTGTGGTCTCCAGCTCTGACTTAGCTAAACAAGTGTTGAGGGACAAAGACTACCAACTTTGTAACAGACACAGAACAGCACGAATGACTCAGAATGGTAGCGATCTTATTTGGTCCGATTACGGAGCACATTATGTGAAAATGAGGAAACTATGTACACTCGAGCTCTTTTCTCTGAAAAGCATCGAGTGTTTCAGGTCAATGAGAGAGATGGAAGTGAGATCCGTGGTTAAGTCAATTTTCAACGGCTTGATGAGCGATGATCAGAAGCCGGTGGTGCTGAGGACCTATCTAGGTTCGGTTGCTTTGAACATTGTTTCAAGACTAGTGATCGGAAAAACGTTCGAACCAAAAGAAGGAAGAGAGTTTAAATCGATTGTTGATAGGGAGACTCGCTTGCCTGGTGCAACCAAGATGCTTGATTACGCAACTTGGCTTAAACGGGTTTCATCATGGTTCACTAGCGACAAGGCGTTCGTGAAGCACATGGATAGGAGACAAAATTGGTTTAGACGAGCTGTAATGGATGAAGAATACGCAGGAAGAGACAAAACGTGTTTTGTTCAGAGTCTATTAGCGTTGAAAGAGAAGAATGAGCTGACTGAGGAGACTGTTATGGGACTGGTCTGGAACATGTTAACCGCAGGCGCCGACACAGCTGCCATTACTATTGAATGGGCAATGGCAGAGATGATCAGATGCCCAACCGTTCAAGAAAAGGTGCAGCATGAGCTTGATTTCGTGGTTGGAACCGGACGGTTAATGTCTGATACAGATATCCCGAAACTGCCATATCTGCAATGCGTAATCAAAGAAGCGCTCCGGCTTCACCCTCCAACACCATTGATGCTTCCACATAAGGCCAGTGAATCAGTTCAGATTGGTGGGTACAAAGTTCCTAAGGGAGCCACAGTTTATGTCAACGTGCAGGCAATTGGTCGAGATCCAGCAAACTGGAGTAACCCAGATGAGTTTAGACCTGAGCGGTTTCTTGTGGAGGAAACGGATGTCAAAGGTCAAGATTTTCGGGTTCTACCGTTTGGGTCAGGAAGACGGGTGTGTCCAGCCGCACAGCTCAGCCTCAATATGATGATGTTAGCACTAGGTAATTTCATGCATTGTTTCTCATGGACATCCTCTACACCTCAGGAGCACATCGACATGACCGAGAAGCCTGGACTAGTTTGTTACATGAAGACTCCATTGCAGGCTCTAGCTTCGTCCAGGCTGCCACAAGAGTTATACCTTTAACTTTTCACTGAAATATATTATATTAATCTACCTAAGATAAGAGAGATTCTCAATTGAGAAAAACAGATGTAGCAATGGCAAGATTTAGGACATGACTGATGAAATGGTTCGTACAAACAGGATGTAGCTATGATAGTAAATAAACTAGATATTCCAAAAGAGAAAGCTTAGTCTCATCATTGCTAAAATTGGGAACCTCATAACACAAACTTTACACATCTGTTATAGAAGCAAGCCAGCAATGTGTTATCTTAGGCTCCAATCATTCCTCGCCATCTTCCTCCTCTTCATCTTCATCATCGTCGTCTTCGTCTCCCTGAAGAGATTATAGTTTTCAAAGAATTTTCAGGTTAAAGGATGGACCACAGTAACAAAGCATGTGACTCATAATACAAGTGTCTAGACTAATACTCAATTAATCAATGTATTTTGAGGAGGAATGAAATTATTGTTTTACCTCTTCGTCACCATCATCATCTCCATCAAAGTCCTCTTCATCAGCATCCTACGTACATCAAAAATATTTCTTTAGTAACTTTTTTCCACTACAGAAAGAGGACTGAAACTTAACTGACGAATATATTACATTGTTGAAGTAGGTGAGAGGGTTGGACCACAGATCTTCCTTGATAATATCAGCAACCTGCTCCAAAGGAGATTCCCGAGTTCAAACTGGGCAAATAATAAAAACGGTCTATATTTTATAACAAGTCAGAAAGTTGAGTACCTCATCATGAATCTCATCCCCAGCATCTTCCTTATGTTGAGCATCAGTAAACCAAGTAAAGAAACTGAAGAGAAAGTAAAATGGAAAGTTGTTAATCATATGGAACTACTAATAAGAAAGAATCTAAATTTTGTATAATGTGCATCATCTATCCATGACCACAAGAATTTCACTAAGACTATGATCACTTAATAGACTCCTGAACAATACCTCTCCTCTGGCAATCCACGTTTGTTTCCTTTCTTATCATCATGGTTCACTCCATTCGGCAAGCCCTGCATAATTGAGAAGCATCATTAAGAATAATGCCGAAGAGAGACAAATAAAGTTGAAACTTACTATCTTGCACAAGCAGAACTATACATTTACCTTGCCCTCCTTCCATTTGATAGGAGTTGCCGTGATTTTTGTTGTTCCTTCTTCAAAGAAGGTAAACGTCTTAGTAAGTTTGGCATCCTCAAAGAAAGGGTTGGAATTGAAGTGCTGATAGATTCCCAATTTAACAAGTAAGTTAACAATACCCAGTAACTTCTTAGATAAATAGGTAAAGACAGTAAAACGGTAGTAAAAATGAGCTGAATAAAGAAACATACAAAAGTTATAGAGTATCCAGATTTCACATCTTTGGCATCCTCCACTTCCAGAGAGCTCAAATACTTAAAAATCTGTAAATACAGGGAAATAAAATGAAGAGTTATAAATGATGTAACTGCAGAAAATATGAAAGTCCAATGGGGAAGTTATCTACGTATAATGATACTTTATAAACATTATAATCTTGAAAGCAAGCCCAAAGATAGCTCAAACCTTTTGGTCTTCTTCAGTCAAGAGGTCACCTAATGCTGGATGACTGAAAAACTACAAAGAATGTGGATCGTCAATAAGTCGAAGATGTTTTGAACAGTAATTGGGAACTACCTTGAAAATAGAACTTACAGCAGTCAACCAAAAGTCTGGAATAGCTTGGATAACTTCATTACGCTTGTCATAGACAGGTTTCCGTATCTCGTTATATTTCTGCTCCACTTCCAAGACCTCATCACTGGCCTTCTCGTTAATCTAGAACCAACAAACCATCAAAGTCAAAAAAAAAAGGAAGAAGAAAAAGGAACACTTTAGAGCTAATGTCAATTCTAACAGTACTGGTGACTTGAATATATGCATCTGTTTAAGCTTCAACTTCACAAATAGTACTCTTTCCATTAACTCCTCTACAGGCATTGCAGAAGCTACTAATTGCAGAGAGCAGTCACATGAACGAATTTATATATACATAAATCTCACAAAACGTTCTCAAATTTCATCTGTAGCAACAAGACAAAAAGACAATCTTTCATGCGAAATTCAGCAAAGTCAAAAATAAATATACTGACTTCATGCGTAATTAGCAACAGAATCATCAAACAAGAACTAGAAAATATAAATTAAAATTGGAATCCATTCAACTTAACCAGGATACAGAGCACATAAACACTGATTAAAAGAAACAAAAGGGGAATTAGAGCAAATTAACGAAGATGTGAAAGGATAGAGTTTTAAAACCTTCTCGAGGTCGTCTTGAATCTCCTGAAGCTTCTCAATTGAGAGAACAAGCTCTCCATCGATTTGCTCTAAGTTCTCATCTTCGACTTTCTCTTCAATTTTCGACTTCTTGCTCTTATCCGCGACCATTTTCACTTCACTCCCTTTAAGGAAAACCCTAAAACCGAAAGAAAGAGAGGATTTCGGAACCTCCTCTTGGTTTCTTCTCCGCTTTTGTGTTCCGTCGCAAGAGAATCAGCTAAAACCCTAGTTCCTGACCAAGTTTATGCTGGTGAAGTGTGAGTGTGGGCAAAGGGGACTTAGGGTTTTGAGGGGTTTATGTGGACCAATCAGATTGCGCCAGCTGAGGCTAATAAGGGTATTATAGTCAATTTCTTAACCAACCTTAGGGTAGATTTATAATTTTCTCCTTTCACTTGCTTTTTTAAGTTATCCTATTAGAGAATAGATTGATTTAATAAAAGAGGATATTAAGTCATTTAATTTTTCTCTTTTTTGTGTCGTGTGATTTACTTCTGGACCACTTTAAAAGTAAAACATTATTGCTCATTTGCTCTAACCATTTGAGAAAAATATCCACTTAAATAAAACTATTGCTCTGCGATATCACAATTTAAGAAAATTAAATAGCAAAAAGAAAAAAGAGAATTGTTGACAGTGGGATTTGAACCCACGCCCTTTCGGACCAGAACCTTAATCTGGCGCCTTAGACCAACTCGGCCATGTCAACGTATTTGTTCTAGCTAAAATTAAAAACAATTTATTGACATTTCTCACGCGCTTCGTCGCCGAGTCTGATTTGCGACTAAGTACTACCGGCGTAGTAGCCGTTGTAGTTCGTCGGTGAATTTTACTATCCCATTGTAATTGATTGTTTTCTGGGTCTCCTCGGCGATAAACAATCTGGCTTTTCAATCTTATTCTGTCTCATCAGGTTTTTCTAGGGTTGTTCTGTCTTCTTTGCAATGTCTCTGTGGAACGGAATCAAGGTTTCTGGATTTTAGGGATTAGGTTACGCTTATTTCTCTTTAATGGGTTCTCGTCTGCTTCCGAGACATGTAACTGCAGTTATAAAATGTCAGAGAGATCCTATGAAAGCCTTGGAAATGTTCAATTCGATGAAAAAAGAGGATGGTTTCAAGCATACTTTATCTACTTACCGCAGTGTGGTTGAAAAGCTTGGCCTTCATGGGAAATTCGAAGCCATGGAAGAGGTTTTAGTAGATATGCGGCAGAATATTTGTAACCATGTGCTTGAAGGGGTTTATGTTGGGGCAATAAAGAATTATGGTAGGAAAGGTAAAGTTCAAGAAGCTGTGAATGTGTTTGAAAGGATGGATTTTTATGATTGTCAGCCTACGGTTTTCTCTTATAATGCTATTATGAGTATATTGGTTGATAGTGGTCACTTTGATCAAGCTCACAAGGTGTATATGAGGATGCGTGACAGGGGAATTACGCCTGATGTGTACTCCTTTACTATTAGGATGAAGTCGTTTTGCAAGACGAGTCGGCCTCACGCTGCTTTGAGGCTACTTCACAATATGTCTTTTCAAGGCTGTGAGATCAATGTGGTTGCTTATTGTACCGTGGTTGGTGGGTTTTATGAGGAGGATTTTAAGGATGAGGCATATGAGTTGTTTGGGAAGATGCTTGGATCAGGTGTTTCGCTTTGCGTTAGTACGTTTAACAAGCTTCTACATGTTCTTTGTAAGAAAGGAGATGTTAAGGAGTGTGAAAAGCTACTGGATAAAGTTATCAAAAGAGGTGTTTTACCAAATTTGTTTACTTATAATTTTTTCATTCAAGGGCTTTGTCAGAAAGGTGAGCTTGATGGTGCTGTTCGTATGGTAGGTTGTCTCATAGAACAGGGGCCAAAACCTGATGTCGTCACTTATAACAATCTAATATATGGCTTATGTAAGAATATCAAGTTTCAGGAGGCGGAGGCTTACTTAGGCAAAATGGTTAATGGTGGGATTGAGCCTGATAGTTTTACCTATAACACACTAATAGCTGGATATTGCAAAAGTGGAATGGTGCAACTTGCAGAAAGGATTCTAGGTAATGCTGTTTTCAATGGGTTTGTGCCTGACGAGTTTACATATCGCTCCTTAATTGACGGATTGTGCCACGAAGGTGACACAAATCGTGCTTTAGCTTTATTTAATGAGGCCTTAGGGAAAGGAATAAAGCCTAAAGTCATTCTTTACAACACACTGATCAAAGGACTGTCTAACCAGGGTTTAATTCTGGAGGCTGCTCAGTTGGCGAGTGAAATGTCTGAAAAGGGTTTGATGCCCGAGGTACAAACTTTTAACATACTCGTAAATGGATTATGCAAGATGGGATGTGTTTCTGATGCTGATGGTCTTGTTAAAGTCATGATCTCCAAAGGATACTTTCCTGACATATTTACTTTCAATATTTTGATTCATGGTTATTCTACACAGTTGAAAATGGAAAACGCACTTGAGATCATAAATGTTATGCTGGACAATGGCGTTGATCCTGACGTGTACACTTACAACTCTTTGTTGAATGGTCTCTGCAAAACTTCAAAGTATGAAGATGTGATGGAAACCTATAAAACGATGGTGGAGAAAGGTTGTGCCCCCAACTTATTCACATTTAATATACTTCTGGAGAGTCTTTGCAGATACCGAAAACTAGATGAAGCCATGGGGTTGCTGGAGGAAATGAAAAACAAGAGTGTGAATCCAGATGCGGTTACATTTGGAACGTTGATCGACGGGTTTTGCAAAAACGGAGACTTGGATAGAGCATACACGCTATTCCGGAAGACGGAAGAGGTTTATAAGGTCTCCAATTCAACGTCAACATATAATATCATCATTCATGCTTTCACTGAGAAGCTCAATATTACTATGGCGGAAAAACTTTTCCAAGAGATGGTTGATCGTTGTCTTCTTCCTGATGGATACACATACCGGGTTATGGTTGATGGTTTTTGCAAAACGGGAAATGTTGATTTGGGGTTAAAGTTTCTACTGAAAATGATGGAAAATGGGTTTATTCCATCGCTCACGACGTTTGGACGTGTAATAAACTGTCTTTGTGTGGAGGATAGAGTTTATGAGGCTGCCGGTATTATCCATCGGATGGTCCAGAAAGGACTGGTCCCTGAGGCTGTCAACACCATTTTCTATGTTGACAAAAAAGAAGTGGCTGCTCCTAAGCTTGTCTTGGAGGATCTGTTGAAGAAGAGCTGTATTACATATTATGCTTATGAACTTCTTTTTGATGGTCTTAAAGATAAAAGACTACGCAAGAAAAAGGCTTCACAGTGGTAGGCATATGAATCTGATGCAATGGTCTTTTTGGTGATGCTTCAAGATAGAATTGAACACAGACTGAAATCGCCACTACAGGAGCATACTCCAAGTCGTTCTCAACTTCAAATTCAATCAAAAATTTGCCGGCACCTGTGTGAAAGAAGCCCTAGGGGAGGAACAGCTAACCACTCTAAAGAAGCTGCACGAGGTATGTGGAGCTTCCTGAGTACTATACCCTTTTTGTTATGTGTATTTAGCTGTTTACAATCTCTGTGAGATAGAGCTTACGATGATCGAGTCAGATCTTGATTAGAAATGTTATCATCGCTGTTTCCAACTTATTTCTCGCAAAAGTAAAACACTAAAGGGTATCAGGTGGGTTATAGGAAGATTGGAGATACCACAAATGCTTTATTTAGTTTCATTATCATACATTATTTTTCTACCATAAGTCCATAAATAATTGTCTCAAGGAATTATTTCTTACTTTAAACGCTAATCTAACTCTTACTCTGTTATCCTCTGAGACAATACTGAATCTGGAGATTCGGTAACCTGACCAACATCTTGATCTAATTACGCACTTGCAGCCTGCTGGAGACGCTTTTGTCTATAGCTCTGGAGAAAGTTCACCAACTTATCACGAGGCACTTCGACTTCTTTCATCACAGGCAGATCTTGCAGGCACTCTATCCAGTTGTATAAAGTCGGAGTGTTCACTGGATCAATTATCTCTACACCAATTGCTTCACGATAAACTTTGTGGGCTCCAAAAGTAGCAATGATGATGATTTCCAAAAGCCCTACATCATCATTCTCTCTGATGATTTTATTTGAGAAATGCTTCTTGAGTCCCTCTTCAAGAACTTTGATTCTCTTTCGAGCCTCTTCCACAGACTTTGCTTGAGCTTCACCCTCTTGGAACACAACTTGACCCATGACCTCAAACACCTGCAACAAGAAAAATAGTCATTAGTCTGCAAATCATATCAATGTATGGGGTTGATTTCGGATGAGAGATTTGGGGAACACACCTGTTGATTGATGTAGCTGACCCAGAACCTGACCTGGCCCCTTTCATAAGGATCCTCTGGGAAGAAATGAGGAGAGTTCTTCCACGTCTCATCGATATATTCAAGAATCACAAGTGACTCAGCCACTGGTTTCCCATTATGAACAAGAACCGGAATCTTCTTGTGAACTGGGTTGAGTTGAATCAGCGATTCACTTTTGTTCTGAAGATCTTCTTCGACATACTGATAGAGTATGCCCTTGATTTTAAGGGCGATTTCTACCCTCTTTGAGTATGTGCTTATCCACATCCCATGTAATGTCACTTTGTTGCTCTGGTCCTCCATTCTCTCAAAACTCTGTTGTTTTATTTCTTACACTTTTTTCTTAGAATCTTGTTGGTGATTGTGATTTCTGCTTCGTTTTCAAATTCTTATATAGATGTTTAAGACAAGAGTCTTTACTTTGGATCTTGTTGTCTTGTTCATCAAGTATAATGTGGGCATTAATCTTATTTATCTTTTCATTTAAAGACAAAAGTTTGAACTTTGAATGTTCAATTAATATTACAATAAGATTTGTTTATTTCATGATGTCACTTTTATCTTCTGGAATCTGGAATAAAAAATTCATGGAACAGAGCCAAGAGATAAACTATTGAATTATCTTTGACTCTATTGCCGCCCAAGAAAACTGAAATCAGCAAACACTTTACAACCAACTATTTCTCTGGAATGGTCTAAAGAGATATCTACTACCCACACTGGAAAAAAAAGAACAATTGAGAAAAATAAATAAATTAAAATTGTTCTGAGAACTGACTGTTGTCCAGGAATTTTCTCTGAACAAATATACGGAAAGGCTTGTCTTCAACAATGCAAGCAATCTCCAATTATCTTCAATTGTTCCTTCATCATTAACTTGTGGCAGAACTGCTGCGCATCCATGTCTATGTCTGAACATTTTGGATTATCCAGAACATAGGACAGTAATCAACCTCACGGCTTTTCATCAGACTGAACTCCAACCTGGTTCCTTCTGTACACCTATTCCTTTCATCAGCTTACGAGTTTCTTCCACTACGTCCCACTCACCAACCTCTGCAAGGATGTTCGAGAGTGAAATATACGCTCCAGCGTCTGATGGCTCTAATTCTATAGCCATTTTCGCAGCTAGCTTCCCGAGTTCAACATCCCCGTGAAGTCTGCAAGCAGAAAGCAATGTTCCCCAGACCAAGGCATCCGGTTTTATAGGCATACCGTTGATAAAACTCTCAGCTTCTCTAAGTCTTCCTGACCTCCCTAGAGTATCGACCATGCAAACATAATGTCTGTTCTCAGGTTCGATACCATAGTCTTTTACCATCGATTTAAGATGAAAATAGCCCTCTTCAACCAAACCACCGTGACTACAAGCAGACAAGACTCCCACAAAAGTAACTTTATCAGGGTTGAATCCTTTTTCCTTCATAAGATTGTACATTTGCAACGCTTCAGTGGCCTTTCCATGTTGAGCATAACTTGCAATCAGCGCTGTCCATGCTATTAAATCTGGGACATTGATCTGGCTGAATGCTTTACAGCAGTCCTCAATGCTTCCAAATCTCGAATACATTGTCAGTAATGAGCTTCCTACAGAAGGTTCTGTGTTCAATCCAACTTTTGTGATGTAGGCATGAACTTGAGCTCCCAGAGATGATTCGTCTGAGAGAGTAGTGGCTTTAAGAATGGATGAAACTGCAAATGAATCCATGGTAATACCAGACATGACCATATTACGAAATAAGAGGAAGCCATCCTGGATTAACCCATGTTGTGAATATCCTGAAATTAAAGATGAACATGACACTGGATCCAGTTCAGGGAGCCTGTCATAGACCTGTCTCGCCAACTTTAGTGAGCCACACTTTGAATACATGTTTACTAGTGCAGAACCGAGAGGCATTCCCTTGTCGATTCCAGCTCTTAGTGTGTACCCATGTATCTCTTTACCTCTTGGCAGAGAAGGAAGTGAAGAACACACAGTTAGAACAGCAGCTAGAGTGCTCTCATCAGGGCTTGTTTCATCAGCCAACATCTCCCGGAATAGTCCAACAGCTTCTCTAAGACAACCATACTCATTGAAACCAGAAATCATGGAAGTCCAGCAAGCATTGTCTTTAAAACGTATCTCCTGGAATAATTTATATGATTCTTCCAAACTACCACATTTGGAATACATTGTAAAAAGAGAACTTCCAACAGTGAGATCAAGGACTAACCCACTTTTAAAGGTGTAACTGTGAACCTGCCTACCTAAATTCAAACAATCTAATACACTAAACAAACTGCATACACTAAACTCATCGGGTCTCAAACCTTCCTGAAGCATTCTAGTAAACAGTTTTATTGCTTTACTAGGCTTCTTACTTTGCGAAAATGAAGAGACCATAACGTTCACTATATTTTTCCTCTGAATGTCGTCCAAATCCTCAAACACCCGCTCAGAGAGACCAATATCTCCACTCTTTGAGTACATACTAATCACGGCGGCAGCCACTGAGGAATCAAAACAGAAACCACTCTTAAAGACCCAAGCATGTACCTGGCTTGCTTCACAGACCATAGAAGGTTTACCACAAGCAGAAATCACGCTAGTTACGGTATGGCTGTTGATCTCAGCACCTGAGTATCTCATTGCTCTGAATATTTCAAGAGCAGAAATAGCATCGTTACTCTTTGTGTAACCAGACAGCATTACTGTCCAAGAGACAACACTAGGGTTGGGGATACGGGAGAATACTTCCCTAGCATCAGCCATAAGTCCACATTTGGCATATAAATCAACAATCGCAGTAGAAACAAATACATCTTCTGCTCCGCATTTAATCACCTGACCTTGGACAGCTTTTCCAAACATAAGCTTCTCAAGGGAAGCACACGCAGCCAAAACACTGGAATACGTATAACTATCAGGTTTCTGAAACCCAACACACATTTCATGGAAAAGATCAAAGACAGCACCATAATTTTGGGTTCTCAATGCCCCTGCTATAATAGTGTTCCAACAATACAAATTAGCAGATAGAGTATCACGGAACACCTTATAAGCATCCCCAAATCTGAGATTCTTCGAGAATGCGTCTATCAAAGCCGATTGAACTACCTCATACAAGAAATAACCCATCTTTATTGTATGACAACACACCAGCTCACTGAACAGAGGGGCCTGAAGAGCACTACAAGCCGAAATCACGGACCCATAACTAATCTCATTAGCCTCAGGACCTAAGGAATGCATCTTAGAGAAAAATCTCAATGATTCTGCAAACAATCGATGCTGTTTGTAACCAGAGATCATAATATTACAAGAAACAACATCTGGTTGGGGAATTGTATCGAACAGCTTAGCTGCGTCAGCCATTGAACCAGAGTTTGAGTAAAAGCTAAGCAAGGATTTAGTAAGGAAAACATCAAAAGGCAAAAGATATCGTCTAAGCAAATGGGCTTGCAGAACTCTGGTTGTTCTGAGGTTACAAAACCTAGAATTTGATTGATCATTAAAGAATTGAAAAGGATTAAAAGGAGCTGAAGAAGTGCAATCTTCGCTGGAAAGAGATATCTGGTTTCTGAAATTGGTAAGGGAAGATAGCAATCGTAACGAAGAAAAAGGAGAGATCTTTAAGGAGTTTAAGCTCTCCTTCGCTAGACAATTCATTCTTAGCTCATGAGTTAGTCTGTAGTTGACAAAGGAAACAAAACAACGGGAATGAATGAAATTTTCAAAAACACAGATATAAATATATTATTAATAGTCTTTTCAGTCAACAGAAAGTCAAGATGGCCGAGTTGGTCTAAGGCGCCAGTTTCAGGTACTGGTCCGAAAGGGCGTGGGTTCAAATCCCACTCTTGACATTAAATTTTTATGTTCACTTTTTCATTTAGAGTTTTGTTAATGTTACCAATCCTAGTTAATCCCATGATTAATCTACAGAAATCTTTTTTTTTTTAACTTTTAAAAACGTTTAATGTGGTGGAGAGATAATCACAAAAAATATATAGGATTCAGTCAATGATTTTATCCATCTTTTTATGGTTTTACACTCATTAGAATATATTATGGGCAACAAATTTGTGTCATTCATAAACTTATTGCTTAGTATATAAATATTATTATAAAAAAAATATATATATATATCATATCCTAATTCGAACATGAATAGGATATAATTGAGCTTCCATATAAAACCATCACCAACATGCCTGATGCCTCGGCTCATGCTCTCAAAATCTCTATAACAAAAGAACGTATTGTTAAATTATAGTTCTATCATGCATACAACAAGACATGTGTTACACCAACTTTGAGTACAGTGTCTCTTTACGCCAGGATTCAACCTCTCCACTTACTGCTGAGCTAACGTGCACTAAATTCCTTCGCAAAAAATTCCATCTCTTCACAGACGAAACACACACGTTGTCTCTACCCGATCAACCCATCGAGCTTCATACCAACTATATACCACTGATCGAACCAAATTACTCTACAAACACTCAAATCGTCTTCGGCATCGTTCGTCATCCCAACAGAACCACCGTTATATCTAGACCAAGCAAGACCAATGATTGTTACTCACTAGACTACACCAGAATCTCAGATATCATGAGCAGCTTCGGCGTCATCAACAAGCACTGTCGTTCCACTATCTTGCGCGAGATCGACATGGCTGTAAAATCATCATCGAGAGGCAGAGGAGTGGTTGAAATCAAGATTTGTAAGGTAAAGACTGAGGTATATGAATTCAACAGAGCTGCAGAGGAGATGTTGATCGAGAGCTACCACCCCAATCCAGCGGCGCCTAGAGTTTACAGTTCAACGAGGAGGGAGCAAGAATGCGTGATTTGCATGCAAGGTTATTCGATGGGGTCAATAGTGACGAAATTGGCTTGTAACCATGACTTTCATGGACTTTGCATCCACAAGTGGTCGCAAGTAAATCATCTCTGTCCTTTGTGTCGATCGCCAATTACTAATAAGGGTGTTCAATCCGGATTTATATTCTGTTTTGGTTCGCTTTCAGGGTTTTCTCTATTATGAGAAATAGTTATCATATATACTTTTTTTGCTTTCGATGGTTTCAACTAACCATATAAACAAGGAATATCCATTCATATTCCAGATTAAACTGATGAAAATAATAATAATACAACTACAAATATAAATTTTAAAAATGTAATCATCTTGTTGAGATTAAAGAAAATAATTTAATACTTATCCATAATCATTAACTTTATTTTTTCTCAGATTTACTAAATTGCTAGTATATATAAACCAGTACTATAAACAAAACACCAGTTTTACCAAAAAAAAAACAAACAAAACAAAACACCAGCGTCGTTATCCTCCTCCCCGGAAAGAGAGAGAGATCAGCGATGGATTCCTCTGATATTGAGTACACCGTTACTTCTTCCATGCACGCAATTTACCCGTTCGCAGCCGAGCTAACGTGCGCGGAAGTCATCCGCAGAAGGATTCGTCTCGAAACAGAAACACTCTATCTTCCCGATCAAACCATCGACCATAAAACAAGCTTTATCCCCCTATACGTTCAAAAAGACGTCCTCTGCTTTACTCCTTGTCCCTACGGAACCATTTATATCTCTAAGCCCGTTAGTTTCTCGTTAAATTGCAGGGGCATCTCCCATATCATGTGCCGTTTCGGCGAAGCCAATGACTGCTTCACTATCTCGCGAGAGATTGATGAAGCCCTTGCGCGTGTATTATTAAAAGGCAGAGCAGTTACTCAAGTCAAGATCTGGAAGATCACTACTAAAGACTACGAAGTCGACGCTGAGTCGGAGAAATTGCTGACCGAGAGGTGTTGCTCTGTTCCCGCGGATGATGATGATGATGATTCACCAACGATCAAGTTGCTCCGATATAACTTGAATGGATCGACGGGATGTGTAATTTGCATGGATGAGTACGTTGAAGGATCAGTCGTGGTGAAACTGCCTTGCGAACATGATTTTCATGGAGTTTGTATCAACCAGTGGTCACAAATCAAACAACATTGTCCCTTGTGCCGGTTTCAAATCTCTCTTTCATCATCATTTTCGTTTTTTCTTTGGATTTTTGATTTGTAAAACAATTATTATTTTCTAAAGGGTTTTTGAGCATATGTATATAACTTGAAAGATTTATCTGATTCTGATATTTAAAAATTCCACCTTTTTAAAAAAAAAATTGGGTGTGTATGTGCGTGCGTGTGACCGATGTCTATCGTAACGGACCATTGTCTTTCTCTCCTTACTAGTTGCAAGAGCTTAAGAGCTCTCACTCAAATCCATGGCTTCTTTATCAAATCCGGCGTCGATTCCGATTCTTACTTCAACGGCAAACTTATCTTACAATGTGCCATTTCCGTTCCCGGCGCTTTACCGTACGCTCGACGTCTTTTGTTCTGTTTTCCTGAGCCAGATGCCTTCATGTTCAATACTCTCGTCCGAGGCTACTCTGGATCCGATGAACCGCGTAATGCCGTATCGGTGTTTGTGGAGATGATGAGGAAAGGTTTTGTCTTTCCTGATAGCTTCTCCTTCGCCTTTGTTGTCAAGGCGACGGCTAATTTCCGGTCTTTGAGAACCGGATTTCAGATGCATTGTCAAGCTTTGAAGCATGGGCTTGAGTCACATTTGTTCGTTGCTACTACCTTGATCGGTATGTACGGGGAATGTGGGTGTGTGGAGTTTGCTCGCAAGGTGTTCGATGAAATGCATCAGCCAAATTTGGTTGCGTGGAACGCTGTGATCACTGCCTGTTTCAGGGGAAATGATTTTTCGAAAGCTAGGGAAATCTTCGATAATATGCTGGTAAAGAATCACACGTCGTGGAACGTCATGCTTGCTGGGTACACTAAAGCTGGGGAGCTTGAGAGTGCTAAACGGATCTTCTCGGAAATGCCTCACAGAGATGATGTCTCTTGGAGCACTCTGATTGTTGGGTTTGCTCACAATGGGATTTTCAATGATGCTTTCTCGTATTTCAGGGAGTTGCAACGAGTGGAAATGAGACCAAACGAAGTAAGTCTGACTGGAGTTCTCTCTGCCTGTTCACAATCCGGGGCATTAGAGTTTGGGAAGACGATACACGGGTTTGTAGAGAAATCAGGGTATAGTTGGATAGTTTCTGTGAACAATGCGCTTATTGATATGTATTCTAGGTGCGGTAATGTCCCAATGGCCAGGTTAGTCTTTCAAGGTATGCCAGACAAGAGAAGTGTTGTATCTTGGACATCAATGATAGCGGGCTTAGCCATGCATGGTCAGGGGGAAGAAGCTATTAGACTATTCAATGAGATGACCAAGTCTGGTGCTACACCAGATGGGATATCATTCATTTCGCTTTTGTATGCTTGCAGTCATGCTGGACTGATCAAAGAAGGTGAAGATTACTTCTCTAAGATGAAGAGAGTTTACCACATAGAACCAGCGATTGAACACTATGGTTGCATGGTTGATTTATATGGCCGATCTGGCAAACTGCAAAAGGCTTACAATTTTATATGTCAAATGCCAATTCCGCCAACAGCCATAGTGTGGCGGACTCTTCTTGGGGCGTGCAGTAGTCATGGGAATATTGAACTGGCAGAGCAAGTAAAACAAAGGCTTAATGAGCTTGACCCAAATAACTCGGGGGATCTTGTTCTTTTGTCGAATGTTTATGCTACTGCGGGTAAATGGAAGGATGTTGCTTGTATCAGAAAGTCAATGATTGTCCAGAGAATCAAGAAGACAACTGCTTGGAGCTCAGTTGAAGTTGGCAAAACCATGTACATGTTCACTGCAGGCGAGAAAAAGAAGGGAATCGATATAGAGGCTCACGAGAAGCTAAAAGAAATAATCTTGAGGCTTAGAAATGAAGCTGGGTATGCACCAGAACTAGCAAGTGCTTTATATGATGTAGAAGAGGAAGAAAAGGAGGATCAAGTGAGTAAACACAGCGAGAAGCTTGCACTTGCATTTGCTGTAGCTAGATTGCCTAAAGGAGAAAATATCAGGATAGTGAAAAATCTTAGAATCTGCAGAGATTGTCACGCTGTTATGAAGCTAACGTCAAAGGTTTATGGAGTAGAGATTGTGGTCAGAGACAGAAATCGCTTCCATTCATTCAAGGATGGTTCTTGCTCATGCCGTGACTACTGGTGAAAGTTCTGATATAATTGTACATCAAGCCAAATATCATTTCATGGTCTAATTCTTCCATTAGTGACCTCATCAATGGAGATTTAACTACCAACACAAACTTTCAGATGTCTCTATAACTTGAGCTCTTCCATTTGCGCGGTTTGTGGTTTACATTGCCTTGAGATTTGGATTATTTTGTCACTTTGCATTCCTCATGGCGTACAACGTATTATAAGAAAAAGTTTTGGACTGTTATTGTAAATGTCCGACAGATTTTACCAAACTTTGACGAGAAATATCAAGCACGTCTTCGTGGTTCCGGTTGCTAAAGTCTCAACCTTTTGAATCCTTGTTTCCTTCTTTCTCGCTTACCAGATCTTCGAAACCTTTTGTATTATTTCGATTCCATGGCTGCTTCAGCTGCATTCTCCATATCATCACCACCTTTCGTACCCATTTCCTGCAAAATCCGCAGACCATTTCTATTGCTTACTCCAAAATACCCCAAACTCGTTTTGGTGAGAGCTTCTGCGCCCTCGATCTCCATCGATGAAAAATCGCCAGTCCAAACTAAGGTGAGTTTACTAGTATTTCGTTTTGTATGATCGTCTCGCTCTGTATTGTTCAATTTATGGTGACTTGGGGAAGGAATTAGTAATTGTATTAGTCATATTGAGATTTATCGAGATTTCTTAGCTCTAGGATGGCTTTTGATTCATAAACTTACTATACTATTTTTTATGTAGAATTTGATGAAAGTGAGATTGGTGTTCTTACTTTAGAAACCAGAAATGAGAAAAGTTAGGCTCTTTACGGGATGATCATTTGCTTCTGGGCTTTATTGTATTGATACATTCTGTTTCAGACAAGCAATTGGCAGTGGAAGTTCAAGGGAAACTCTATCGGTATATACTATGAGGAGCATGAAAGGGAGAAGAGTGAATCAGCTAAGAATATCCTAATGATACCAACAATATCAGATGTTAGCACGGTTGAGGAGTGGAGATCTGTGGCTAAAGATATTGTGCAGCGTGATGGGGAAGTCAATTGGCGAGCAACTATTGTAGATTGGCCTGGTCTTGGCTATTCTGATCGACCAAAGATGGATTATGACACAGATGTCATGGAGAAGTTTGTGGTTGACTTCATGAACTCACCTGAGAGCCCAATGAGCCAGTCAGGTTAGTGTGAACCGCTTCTTCTTCTGTTTGGCTTGGAAATAATATTGTTACAAGAGTGAAAAACTACAGTTATTCTCCATGGTTTTAGTTCTAGTTCCGCATAGTTCAATATCAAATCTGTATTGTAGTTGGTAATATCTATATTTACTTTGGTGAACAATTTTGGTTGTACATGAGCCCGCCCTTGCAGTGTTTAGAGTCCCTTACTCTTAGCTCTTTCTGAAATTAGGTCTTCTTTATGGGTCTGAATGCTTATATGAATTGGGTTCCCATTGATCCGCCTTATTTGCTTCCCCAACTAACTAAAGAGAACAAGCAATATCTTAACATAAGCCATATTAAACTGAAACAGGTAATGATGATCTGGTTATCATTGGAGGAGGGCATGCAGCAACACTAGCACTCCGTGCTACCCAACGTGGGCTACTTAAACCATCAGCCATTGCTGCTGTCGCACCTACGTGGGCTGGACCCCTTCCTATTGTCTTTGGCCGTGATTCTTCCATGGTGACGAGGTTCGTTGACATCTTTTCATGAAAGAGAAAAGAAGATAAAAGCTTTTCTCTCTTGATCGCCTGGTTTTTTGTCTCAACAGGTACGGTATGCTAAGAGGAACTCTAAGAGCACCTGGAGTTGGTTGGATGATGTACAACATGTTGGTGAGCAACGAGAAGTCCATTGAGTCTCAATACAAATCACATGTTTATGCAGACCAGAGAAACGTGACCGATGCCATAATCCAAAGCAGATACGAGTTAACAAAGCAGAAGGGATCACGCTACGTCCCTGCAGCTTTTCTGACGGGTTTACTCGACCCGGTTTCATCACAGGACGAATTTCTTCAACTGTTTGCTGATTTGGAAGGAAAATTTCCGATCATGGTGATGTCAACGAAAGGAGCTCCAAAGAGATCTAAAGCTGAAATGGAGGTATTAAGAGGAGCCAAAGGAGTTAGCAAATTTGTGGAGGTTGAGGGTGCACTCTTACCTCAAGAAGAGTATCCTTCTCTTGTTGCTCAAGAACTCTACAACTTCTTGCAAGAGACTTTTACTAAATGTTAGATATATAGATTAAAGCTCACGCATACAGACAGACCCAGAAAATGTGAGCACACTGCACACACTCATACTAGTGTTACGTTCATTGTTTGCGGAACTCTTCAGTTAAAAAAGTCTTTCTATACTTGCTTTTACAAGTTTCAGATATCTTTTCAAGTTTTGACTAGCATGGTTTGTTCATTGTTGTCTAATACAGTGCTCTATAGTCTATAGGAATTTACTCCTACTTTATATATTACAAAAAAAAATACATCTTATATAACAAGTACGATTTAGGTAACACCGATTTTGCCTAACAATTTATTTATTTTGGACCAAGCCTCAAATCATATTTATTTGGTCTCGAAGCTGTTCCTTGAATCTACTTATTACTTGGCCTGGAGGAAAAGGAACTCAACGTCACCAGAACTGATGCGTGATACTACCATGGACCGCACGGTAGGCCAGAAAGGACCGTAACTTTCCTACCGGCAAGGAGAAACAGAGCCCAACAGCACCACTTATGTGATGTGTGATATGTGGAGAGCCCACATCATCAACTCACTCCATGTAAAGTATTTTTATTAGTTTCCAGTGGTCCGGAAACAGTGATTACTGATAACTAATACATTCCTTTGATTTTATTCCATATTTCGTCAGTTTATGTAAATTCGATTGGATAAGAAGACAAGATCACAAAAAAAAAAAAAAAAAAAAAATCCCATTCCTACATTCTCCCACGTGCCACGTAGATTCATCACATGCCACGCAT